GTTCCTAAAAAAAGTTGAAAATAGAGCTACCCTACCACCCAGCAATCGCACTACTGGGTATTTACCCTAAAGATACAAATGTAGTGATCCAAAGGGGCACGTGCACCCGAAAGTTTATAGCAGCAATGTCCACAATAGCCAAACTATGGAAAGAACCTAGATGTCCATCAACAAATGAATGGATAAAGAAGAGGTGATATATATATATACGATGGAATAATATGCAGTCATCAAAAGAAACGAAATCTTGCCATATGCAATGATGTGGATGGAACTAGAGGGTATTATAAGTCAGTCAGAGAAAGACATTTTTTTATCATATGATCTCTCTGATATGAAGAATTTGAGAGGCAGGGTGGGGGGTCATGGTGGGTAGGGAAAGAAAAAATGAAACAAGATGGGGTCGGGAAGGAGACAAACCCTGAGACAAACATAAACCCATGTTAATCCCATGAAACAAACTAAGGATTGCTGGGGGGATTGCGGGGGAGGGATAGGGTTACGGACATTGAGGAGGGTATGCGCTGTGGTGAGTGCTATGAAATGTGTTAGCCTGATGATTCACAGACGTGTACCCCTGGGCAAATAATACATTATATGTTAATAAAAATAAAATAAAATAAAACAAAATAAAATGGTGGTATGGCAGAAGCCTTTTATATTAAAAGGACTGTAGGAATGACTATGGCCCCCTCTCATCCTTTAAGTACTTTTATACAGATATTTACAATGTTCAGTGATAGAACTAAGCATTATATGATTAGATGCTACCAAATGGCATTTCTTGATCCAGCAACTATGTCATACTCTTGTTGTGCTCCTTGGCTCCTAATTCAATGGTTTATACCTACTGAACCACAGAAAGCCCAAAGTCTACCTTAGAAATTCTTTCAGTTCAAGGATCATAGTGCTTCATTCTATCAACTATGATCTTGAAATCTGCAAAGTTCATTTATAAGAAATATCTATATTAACATATTTCTGAGAACAAATTTTTAGGTGTCAAAAATCACAGAAGCTGTTAGGTGTCTTAACATAAAATGGGATCCTGAAAATTAAAACCTTAAATATTAGCGGAGTACTCTCAAGCCTTTATTAAATGATTAAAATTAGAGGTTTATGAGGCAGAATACTAATTGGCACCAAACTATGTCATCTTGATGAAGACCCTACCTCAGACTTTTAAGTCCGGAAACAAGTATGTGCGTAACCCTGAACATTCATTATTCACGAAAGCTTATTTAGAAAGGTGACTTTATTTCCTGTTTTATGACAATATTCTCAATCAAGAAAATAGCAGTCAAGGCCTATCTTGGAATATATTCACTTTCAACTCAGTGTGTAAGTCAAAGCCAGTGTCCTTCAACTACTTCCAAAGGGCAAAATAATTTTTTTAATTTAAAAAGATTATAGATATATAAGTTTCAGCTCCTGCTAAGACCAAGGACATGGAAAAAGTAACACCCTGTGAATATACATAGGGGTTCTTTTACCAAAGACTGGTCATCATCATACATAGGATACCCTTAAGGAAATGCTAACGATTTATAATTAAAAATAAGGCTGATGGATTTGCCAACCTGCTTCCAAGCCTTTAATATCTAATATCTGATATGTGGTAACATAGCTATCCTTTGTAGACTTGTATGATCAGCCTCTCATTTCTGCAGCTCAGAAGATTTAAAGTTCATGTTTCTGCACAAAGTAGAAATTTTCAGACTGTACCAGATATAGGTAAATTTTTATATTAAATAATCAATGTTTCTTAGGATATAGGATGGATGCCAAAATCATGTGGACCTCAAATTGATTTTCCTGTCCATACGTATGCATTTCTATTTCTTCTCAAGCAAATATAAATGGGAAGGGAAAGTAGTATTCTTGAGAGTAAATTGCATGCCAGAAGTGCCAGCTTTTAGCTTTCGTGTTTTTGACGAAATTACAAGTGTTATTTACTTAAGAAGGTATATATAAGAGTATATTGTACGGCAACTTTCACTGAGTTTCAGCTCTGCAACATCAGGTACAAAAAAAAGTTCCAAATACATAATAAAACACTAAACTTCAACATATCACTTTTTTTTTTCAACATATCACTTTTATAGTTTCCTTTTAATTTTCTGATGAAACATTTAAGGTACAACATTTAGGGTAAACATTGAAAATGAACATTTTTGAATTCAAGACTACAGATATTATAAATTTTTTTTACTCCAATCTTTTAAACATGGACAATTTGATTACAGGATTTTACCAGCCTCATATCATTTAATAATTCTAATTTTATATCCAAAAAGTATTTGCCCACTTTTGAATAATTAGTAAATTAGTAGAGTGTGCTTATTATATTGACATCCTTGATATACTGAACTAATGGTTATTTAGACGACGGTAGTGTTCAAATTAGAAAGTGTCAACAACAACAATAGCATATGTTGAATGCAAATACTTTCAGCAATCAACTAAATACCAGATTAACTACAATACAATACAAACTACAATACAAATTAAATACAATACAATACAAAGTCCTTTACAAAGTGTAAAGGACACCAGATTATCATTAAACAATATTTACTGAATACCTTCTACATGTCAGGTATTAAGTTAGCAGTAAAGGAACCCAATGACACATTATGTTAGCAAAAGGGCTAATTTTTATACAAAAGATGGTGGGCATGGAACCCTTCTGTGTTCTTTAAGGTGTCTATAACCTTTAGGAATTTCTTATGTTGGACTTATATAAGTAATGGATACTCATTTTGTTTGGGGTTAGAGTAAAAGGGGTGGGTATAATGCAGACTACTTGAAATAAATAGAAACACACATTCTTTTTCTTCTTTACCCAGCCCAATTGTGTTTACGTTCTAAACAGTTATTTGTGGAGAAATGAAATTATAAGGATGAATCTATTTTATAAAGTTAATTACAAGAATTTTATCCTAAATTTTTATGATATGGCTGTTTGCATTTGAAGGTGGTTATCGAAAGTGATGACTGAAAGACCCACTGACATGTAACCGACGGTCCTTTCCATCCTAAGCACAGGGAAGAGTGTTCTTTGATGTATGCCTACTATTTGTGGTCTGTTACTATTTCTGACCCTGACTCTTGGGTTCATTGCCTTTGCTCAGACAGTTACCCAAGAGTTTAAATTACACTTTTGCTAGACGTTTTAAAAAAGGTACTAATTATACACTCACAGTTTAGTTAAGGCCATTGCTATTTTTGATATAATTGCGGACATAATGCAACTTAAAAGTTGTCATAATCTTCTTAAATACTACCCATTGCAGTGATGTCACAATTACATAAGAATCATTTCAACAGCTCAACAAATCTATGGATATATTTAGTTAGTCCCTACTCTTCAGAGACTTTTAAAAGAGCAAATCATATTATAGCACAAATTTTAAAACTTGTCAAGATGGCATTAATTGTAAATGTCCCAAAAGCTCCTAAACAAGTTAACTAAAACAGCATTATACATTTTTCTGAATCCATACACCCCTTAATTGTAATTTATAACCTTTAGAATGTAATGTTAACCATTTTATTTTTCTATATTAATCATTTCATCCTTTTTTAACCAATTATTCTTTCAATTGTTACTTTCATGTTATTTGGTTTAAAAATAGTACTAACACATAAGCCAACATAATATTTCCCTTTAAAAACAACAATATTATGTAGAAAACTGTTGACATTTTAAACTAAAAAAAAAAAAAGCCTCCAAGTTACAAAGATGTAAAATTTAATCGATCAAAATAAATTAGGACAAGTCAAAATTCAAACTGGCAAAACACTTGGGCAAAAAAGTATCACAAAGGGCCGCCTGGGTGGCTCAGTGGTTAAGCCTCTGCCTTCAGCTCAGGTCATGATCCCAGGGTCCTGGGATGGAGGCTGCTTCCCCCTCTTTCTCTGCCTTCCTCTCTGCCTACTTGTGATCTCTCTCTCTCTCTCTCTCTCTCTGTCAAAAAAAGAAAGAAAAAAAAAGTATCACAAAGCCTCCCGTCTTGGGAATCCGACTAGGATTGTGTTACCATTTTTTATCATAGCCAAAGGAAGAACTAAAACAAAACAAAACGAACAAACACAAAACCCCACACACCCTCACCCAAGAAAACTAGCTTATAATGAAGCAATTAAGTAAGTTCTGGATCCCTTCTTCCTAAGGCATCACGTTAATTCACTTGGAACTGTCCACAGGTTTGACATTTGTTTACCTGAAGTGTTAAATGCACCCACTGTCTGCGTCCCTGCCCTACTTGTACTTCTGACAGAGGAGTCCCTTTACAAACAAGACTAACTTTGTAACAAAGCAAGTAAAGAAAACAAACAGTGCACCTGGCAACCTCCAACCACTCCGACGTGAGAGACAGCACAACTCTCCAATTTTGCTGTGCTCTCCGAAACACGTATTTATGAAAACCCTGTTTTAAAAATGTGTTCCTTTTCAAACAACTGTCATCTTCTAAGACATTCTCTGCCTCTCATCTGGAATTGAAACAGGTGTGGAAGGGGTCCCCTAAGCATAATTCTCACCAGAAGTTCCACCTAGAGAGAAGTTACCGTCACCTGCAAAGCTCTGCGGCTGCGAAGGCGGGCCTCGGAACGCGGGAACCAACCCGAACACCCCAAGTCCCGCCAAGTTGAGACCAGCGGGCACTTAGGTTTGTGTGCGGGGGCGGGGGGGAAGCCAGCCCGCACCTCTCTTCACCTCACGCTCCCAGACCCTTCTCTCCCCTCCCTCCCACATCCCCAAATCTTCCTCTCCCTCAACACCCCCCAAGCTTTCTCTCCTCTCCTTCCCACATCCCTAAGTTCTCGACTCCCTTCCCTCTCACGCCGTCGAGTCCATCTCTTCCCCAAGCCGCCTCCTGAAGTTACTCAAATTCCCTCTCGCCTTCCTCAGTTTTCTCGCACTTGCCCTTAAAATAGCTCCCTTCAAGATCCCTGAACTTCCGCGCGACCGCGGGCTCTCGACCCCAGACACTCACGAGAAGAAGGGATCATCCTCAAAGCTGCTGCTCAGCATCCCGAACATGCTGGCTCTGTCACGGGCGGCGGCGGACGCGGACAGATTGGAAGACGATGTAACTTGCCGCGGCCGCGACCGGAGCCAGTGTTCCCCTACGCAGTCAATGCTACTCACCCGGCTAAGAAGGCGGTGCCCGCCGGGAAAGGCGGTGCGTGACGCCGAGCTATTTTCCCATTGGACACCGGTCTCTCGACGTCACTAATACGAGGCGGGGAAAACGCGCCGCTACCATAGCAACTGCGATCAACACAGTGGAAGCGAGAGGTTTGGTTTCCCGCCAGCCAGGCAACCCTTCGTAAAGTCTTCTGAGGGGACGAGATAGCTTGTTCCCAGGACTGCAGGAACACAAAAATTAGACCACCCTCTGCGTGACCTTGGGCAAAGCGCCCTCGGCCTCGAACCCCAACTCACTTTTCGGGAAAGTGGAAATGGGTCAAGATTTGGGCTAGATGGCTTCCAAAGGTCTAGTCACTTGCAGCATTTTGTTATTCACGGGAAAGAGTCTTATATCCAAAACACTCCGTGGTAGTTGGTCCAAAGCTGTGCACAAATACTGAGAATAAACATGCAACAAGTTTTTGAGTACAGTTAATAAATAATGTACTCAGTGCTTACTTGAAGGAAATGAGCCTTATAAAATTTCACAACCTTCTTTGCCTTATGTGAGTCTAAAATTCAAAGGAATATTTCCCAAAGTGGGAATGCTTAAGTTTTATGTAGACATGATATTTAAAAGCAAGATGAGCAAGTTGCTCTCTTTTTGGTCCTCTTTCCCGTCTCCTATTTCAAGGAAGTCTCACTTTGATGCCAGTAGGTCTTTAACACTTCTCCAGCAGTCCTTAACCTAACAGAGTAGGACTCGTACAAAACGCCTGCACCATATCCAACTAAGATCCCACTACTATATAGTTTTATTTTAATTACATTTATGTGTAAGCCTTCTGTTTATGGCAAGTGAAAATGGTTTTAAATTTAAAGCAGTGCTATACATTAATAACTAGTCTTTACGAATGTAAATGAAAATATGAGCTAATTTAAGGATATAGCAAGGTGGGATTTGGACATGATACGGGAGAAGGATATATGACAGTGCTACTCATATTAATAAGTTTTGGAAAACACTCTCCTGAGGCCTACTGCTAGTCTAAAGGCAGGTGGAGGAGAAGATAGAAGAGAGGACGTTAAAGGAAGAGAAGAATGATGAGTATAAGAATAGAGAAGATGCACTTTGTATGTCTACTTTAATACAGTAGGCTCCCCAGCCTCTCTCGGAGGCTGTCCTCTGGAGACAGAGAGCCATCCAGGGCTCCACAGGGCCTCCTGGGATCAGACCAGAGAGGTGGCACTGTTCCAGCATGAAGAAACATGCAGGACCCGATTTGAGGTGACAGGAGTACTCAGGGGTTATTTTTGGAGCTGGAAATTTAATCCTTTAGACCTCTTACCTCCCCACCTTTAGCCAAGTTTGCTGGCAGCCTCCTTTTCCTGAGACTGGTGGTGTGAGGTAAGGGCAGATTTTGCACTGTCCAAGTTCAGATAGCACAGCCTTTCCAGGGAATAGGCTATTTTCTTCTCCTCTGGCATCAGAATGATATATATATGATATATATATATATATATATCAGGGATTTCTAAATTAGTTACAAGGCAAAAAAAATTGTTTTAGAAGACTTGTAATCATTTCCTCTTTAAAATAGTACAGTCCAAGATGTTAAGGAGGGTCATATTGTTTAAAAACTAAAAACAGGTGTGCCTGGGTGACACAATTGGTTAAGTGTCCAACTCTTAGTTTTGGCTCAGGTCATGATTTCAGTCAGGTTCCTGAGATCGAGCCCCACCTCTGGCTCCATGCTGGGCATGGAGCTTGCTTGTTTAAGATTCTCTCTCTCTCTCTCCCTCTGTTCCTACCCCTCCCCCACCCAAAATCCTTAAATGAAATGGGTAAATGTTTGGTGTAAATGATAGTATTAAAATAGTTTTGGATTAACATTGAATAAAGCACCTTGTAAGAAGAATTTTCACCTTGTTCCCATGGGGATTTTTCTTAGACCTACAGTGCTAAAACCTGAAAGCGTTAGTCTGGGCACAGGTTAGTCGCAGAGTTACCTGGAATTCCCAAAAGTAATTTGGGCCTAGTAACAAATGCTTTTTTTTTTTTTTTTTTAAAGGTTAATGGAAGAAAGGGGAGAGTTGAAGCTGAAGAGACAGCGTAGTTTCAAACTGATGGGAAATGAAAGAAGAGGTAGGAGAGGATGAATACCCCAAAAGGGAGCAATAGGAATGGAGATCAGGATTAAAGGGGATAAGGTCCTCGATTTGGCTATAAATAGAATCACAATAGCTAATATTTATTGAGTGTATGCCAGGCACTGTTGTAAGATCTTCATATGCACTGACTCATTGAATCCTCCTAGGATTTTGTGGAGGAGAGATGGTTTTTATCTTCATTTATAAGTGATGCAAACAAAACACAGAGAGGCTAAATAAATTGCCAAGGTTTGCACAGTTAGTTATTGAACAGGGTTGGAGGCCTGGAGTTTTCCACAGTGTGGCTGGTTGCATGGAATGTGGGTGATGGGCCACACTGAAAGAAGCAAGATAAAAGCAGGTAATCATTTCTCAAAATCATGCTGACCAACTAAATAATGGGTCCAAACTAAAAAGCATAAAATTCTGTGGGAATATATTCAACCAGCAATTCAATTTTACAAATATTTATTGAGTGTCTACCTTGTGTCAGGCACTGATCTAGACATTAAGGTGTTGCTGAACAAAACAGACAAAAATCCCTGTCCTGGAATTTATAGTCTTGTGAGCACAGAATAAAAATAAGAGGCATAGAAAGTACTATGTTAAAAGGTGATAGGTGTTGGGGGAAAAAAAACAAGCAGGGTAAGGGAGTCGGACTTGTGAATTATGAATGGGGAATCCTGTGTAGGCCACTTTGAGAAAGTAAATCTGAAGAGATTCGCTGGAAGAAAATCAACATCTGCCAGAAAAACATTCCAGGTCGATGCAAAGATCCTGAGGTAGCATGTGCCTGGTGTATATAATATAGAGTCTATTCATATGTCCTGAAATTTACCTTCAGAGGAATAAGATGAGCTAAGTGAAAATTATATATTGGGATAGTAGCTCCTATTTATACTTCCTATGCCCCAGGCATTGCATTAAGTGTTTTACATACATTTTTCTCATTTAAATTCTTATAGCAATCCTGTATGCTAAGATGTTTATCCCCATATTACATGCGAAAAAGCTGAGGCCCATCAAAATTTGGTGAATGTCCAGTCAGTTCAAATCCAGATTAACCCTCTCTCTCAAGATATCTTTATCAGTGGTAAAATTGTTTCATAAATACACTAATCTACAGTGTGTATGATAGGACTGGTGTCCCCATAGGTGTTACACATTTGCCCATGGCAGCCCCATTCCCCAGCCTGAATGCTTCCCACCAGACAGGAGTTGATGTGTACCAAGCTCCAGCCACTATCTTGTGAGTAAGAAATGTCAATTTATTTTCCTGCAACCAAACTTCATTTATATTCTGGGTTCCCATTCCATTGGTACTGACACCCCCACCCCCAGGGAGTAGGTGTCAAGCTGTGGTTGGTCGCTGACCATGCCACTTCCCCGAAGGGGTCTGTATTCCCCTCACTGTGTGGAGTGAAAGCAGAACCCTGCAGGGAAGAATTGTCTTACCCTAAATGCCCATAGTACCCTCTCCCTTTGAGAAATACACCCACGTTTGTCTTCCAGTGACCTACAAATTCAGAGCAAGTTTGAGTTTACAGAGAGGCTTTTCCAATATTAACTTCTTTTTGGTGCCTGCTACTGAGGCTAGGGCCTGGAGTTTTATTCACAACTGAACTATGAACAAGCAGCAGATTTTCTCAGTCATGTTTATTTTCCATCTCTTTGGACGTGCATATTCATGTCTGGCTGTTTATTTTTCACAAACTGTAATGGAGTTGTTTTATTTGGGAATAAGTAGAGAATATATCACCTAGAATTTTGGTCACAATGATGTGCCTTTATGGAAAGATGCTTTAGGCAGCCTCCTGGGGCAGAAGTGGAGGCTCCAGGCCCTGGAGTGGGACTAACCTTCAGGTGGCTGACAGGGAGCTCCCAGGAGAAAAGCAAAGGAATATTCTGTTGTAGTTAGTGATGGAAGGTCACAGAGGAGGAAGATATTAGAATAGGCTGGGGGAGGGAGTGAAGACTCACCGTAGGGTCAGGGCTAAAACAAAGATTATACTGTTGTTAATAAAAATGGGCAAAAGGTTTGGCTTTACCTACATTTCCTACATTTAGGTATAAGTCTTTGGGGCTTGGACACTTTGGAGCATGTGTCATGCTCTTTTTAAAATAAATACTTAGAGGGGCTCCTGGGTGGCTCAGTCGGTTAAATGTCTGCCTTGGGCTCAGGTCATGATCCCAGGTGGGTGCAAGCCTTGCATTGGGCTCTCTCTTCTCAGCAGGGAGTCTGCTTCCCCCTCTTTCTCTGCCTGCCTCTCTGCCTACTTGTGAACTCTCTCTCTCTCTTTCTCTGTCAAATAAATAAATAAATTCTTTTTAAAAATCCACTAATCTTAAGTGTACAGCTCAGTAAATTTTTACATACAAATAAACCTATGAAAACACCATCCGGCTGTAGATATAAAGCATTTCCAATGCCCCAGAGAATTCCCTTATGCTCTTTCCCAATCTCCCGCAAAGGTAACCAGTATTCTGAGGTTTCTTTTGCTTAATATTAGGTCTGCAAAACTCATTCATCTTGTTACATATAGCAGCACTTTATTCTTTTTCATTGCTGTGTAGTATTTTATTGTATGAATTTACCACAAGTTACTCATCTATTATTGATCAATTTTTGTTCCTTTTCTTTCTTCCTTTTTCTTCCTCTCTCCATGCTCCAGCTCTCTCTCTCTCTTGGTTTTTAAGAATAAAGCTATGATCGTTCTTGTCCACGTTAAAAATTGATTTAACATTCAGCTATTTTTTAATCTTATTGTCACTGAGATTCAGAAAA